TTCTTAATGACTACAGCCGCGTACTTTCGTCATTACACCAATATTAATTTATTATTCCTGGATGTTGCCAGGGCTAAAATTATACACTCCTTTTTCTTTGCATCGAATCCCTTCGAAACAATGATGCCCATGACTTTCCCCATTTTTCTCTCATTTTCGTTCGTAATAATGTTTTCTGTTTTATTATCCCGCCACTAAGAAGAGTTAAAAGGACCCCTACGTCTGCTGAAAACTAAGGCCTGCGACTCTCTTTGTGTTTCTTTTATTCACACGTTTTAGTAAATGTTTATGAAATATACAATAATTCTGTGTTAAATCTGTTTCCCTAACATTCGGTCCAAGTGGAAGATGATCGTTCTCCAAAAATAGAATCAAATGCCCAAAGAAAAATTGCCAAAAAGATCCAAGGATAAAATGACTGAAACTTTGTGAGTATAAAAACAAAGTTGAAAGAAGTAAATCCGGATAACGAAAGTTATACAACTGTTATCAACAAAAATAAAAGGTTGTAGCAAATAAAGAGAATGAAACTGACGTAAATTCGCCTAAGAAGAAGAAGAAAAAGAATCAACAGCTGTAGACGTTGTGCTAACGGACTACACAATGAGGATAAAAGAAAATATTAAAAAAATGTCATGAATTTGCCTGTTTACACTAGAGTCCATTAGTCTGTAACCACGGTATTCTCAACGCTATCTGGACACACATAGATTTTTTCCTTGAATCGCTCGTCGTGGGTATGACGATAAACTACATCCGCGTCCTGGGTAAAACGATAAACTACCTCCAACAGCAAGGCCTCTGATCAGGAGTTTTTGAGGAGTGTGCAACCATTTCTGCTGGTTTTCCCAGGACAACCCGGACCCGAGGTTGTAGCACTTGTTAGGGTCCCAGCTATGGGCAAATAGTTAACACCCAAACTTGTGTAAAAATAGGAATTAATATCAAAAATACTTTGTAGTAAAAAGAAAAATATTACCAACAATAATTTTTGAAGGAAAAATTATTTGCAATACTTAATACTAGAAGGCACAGAATCCCCAATATACACTACATGCCAAGAGAAATTTACAGTGAAATACATACTTAGAGTGTGTAGATTTTGATCTAGTGCGAACAAAATATTACAAATGGAGTAATTTAAAAAAAAAAACCATCCAAGATTGTAAATTTGCTATAAGAATTTGGATTGTACTCAAAAATATGAGTAATTGAAAAATGGTTCAAATATATTTGTATATGATGTAATGAATATGCATATATCTGGGGTCCCCCTCACAGTAATATGATTGACTGGTGTCAGCCATAAATACAGACTGATGTGGAGATTCAGGGACTATTGCCTACTACTACGACGAAGACCAGTCCATTATGGTTACCTGCTAGATTGTCCTACCCGGTTACAGTAGTCAACAACCACTTTGCTACTTCGAATAAATATATCACTTTCCGGGACATATCAATATAGATACACACCTTTTTTTTTTACCAAACTATTGCTATGAAACAGTTCCAAAAATGTTGTTGGCATTAAATGACCCACTGAGGTTTATATGCCATAAACCAAAACAACCAACCAACCAACCCTGAATCGCTAATTTATCTAATCCTGTTTCTACCGTATTATCAGTGAAACAAATATAACAGAAGGGATGTAAACTTCTTCACATTTTAATCAAATCCGGTGATAGGAATATGAATCCAAATTCACAATTTTCAAATCTTATTCTATTATAGTTTTTTTTTTTTTTTAAACATCTACGTTCTGGTAGGTCCCCCTTTTCTTATTTATATTTAATCATTTTTTTTTTCGCTTGGCAAAGTCGAATCGGTTTTATTTTAAGATGAATATATTTAGTCTGTCTTAAATCACTCTCATTCGAACTTTATATACTTATTTCATCTTCATTTCTCTTTTTCTACAGCGTCAACTTTTGGGATCGCCATCAGCGGACTCGTCACGTACTTCTGAATGTTCTACATTGTGTTTCACTAACGATTCTAGGTATCACGTGCTAATAAACCTAATGTTTAAGAGTACTGGCAGACCTGGGGGATATGTTTTTTTTGTTTTTGTTTTTTTAAGAAAATTAAATAAGTAAAATAAAAAAGAAATAAAGCCTCTGCATCTGAAAAATCTATACACACCAACATTTTAAACTCGGGGATTGCAAAATGAATACAAAATGAAGTATTGTCTCCACGCATGCGCAGTAAATACCCCATTTGATGGGCTGCGTAGATGTAAGAAATGCCTGGCAAGTTATGGAGAGGTCTCGTATTCCTTCTGTTCCTTGTCTTTGAAGGCTTTCTACTCTATCCTACATTTATTAATTCTCTCTCTTGGCCCATTTTCAATCTTTCTTTCTGCCTGAAATGTTGTTGTTTTTTTTTAATCGATGTGACACCAAGCAAGGAATGAAAGAACTATGTCACAAGGGATTACAGGTTGTAGATGAATTAGAAAAGGAAACATTACTAAGAAGCGAAAAGAAAAGGAGCAATCAGGAGAACAGTATAAAGCGATTGACATAGTATTTAAATTTTTGAAGATTAAAGTTGATTGGAAAGCATGGAGGTGGAAAGGAGTTCCACAAGCGAGAAGTGCAACAAATGAAACTATTAGCACTGTTACGGTTGCAGTTAGCAACTCAGCTGTAAATTGATGAAAACTCGACGCTCGTCTGTTACTGGGCTTAAATTCTAAAAGTCTAGGTTCCTTAGTGGAAAGATTATTCGAACAATTACCATAAAATTACAAGGAGATACAGGGAGACAACCTTACAGCAGTGGGAAAAAGACAGAAGCCGAGCCGTCAGAACAGGACTATTAGAGTGTGTTCGTCAACTAGGATAGTTCTTTTTTTTTTTCCAAGAGGTAAGGAAATAAATGTGTAAAGGATTAATTAAACAGGTGGTGATTTTATTTACAAAAGCAAAGTATGATGCTGTTGTATGATTATTTTTTATAGTTAACTAAATGCTGTAGTTACTGAAACTTTATCTTTTAGTTAAAATAATACAAAAATATATCATTTTAAGTTTTTTTTTTAAAGCAAGGAAGCTTTTGCCTATAGTGTACCTAGTACCTTAACAAGGACTCAATGAAAAATTTTTTCTAGCATTTATCCAACTACATTCAGTACAGATAAAACTGACCAGGTGTATTTATTTATATTTAATATTTTTTAAATCAAAGGTTATTAAATCGATGTTTGACAGTATATTTCCGTAAGTTTCGAGACTGTACGAAGTGTTCCAGTGATGACCTATTCAAACTCCAGCTTCCATATCTACAATGACGCCATTACAGGAGAATAGAATTTCATTGCGTAAAGTTTCCCATTGCTGAGAAAACCTGCATTGGAAATATTGTTTTTTTTTTCCTGATTTAGAACCCCAACCACTGGCGCCACTGGGAGATACGTAATTATCATACGAAACTCATACTCGAGATATTTATCAACTATTGCTTTATTTCGAGCCAAACCAACAGAGTTAATGGACAGGGTTAATCGTTCAAGTAGTGGGTGGATCTGCCAACCTTGAATTTAGAATGCTAATTACCATTCTAAAATATATGCATTTTATCAGGGATTCGACACCAATCAGTGGCACTGGTGCGAAAACGTAATTATTTTGTCGCGGAACAGGTTATTTCATTCATTTTCTTCTTTTTTTTTCCTACTTTATTGAAATTTTCGCTTTTTTTTCTCTCAAAAACCCTACCTTCATTCTTATTCATTTTCTTTCTTCATTTTTTCTTTTTCGTTCTTTTTCGTTTGTTCATTAATGTTTCTGTCTTTCTTTTTTTTCTTCTTCTTTTGGTTCGTTTGATAGTTCTTTTTTCATTCTTTTATCCTCCTGTTTGCTAAATATTCGTTGTCTCTTGTTTTTTTTGTTCTTTGACTATATACTACTCAAAATATAGGGCCTTTGCTAAACAATTTTTCTTAAATAACTAACATGATATTTAAGTTGTCATAAAACAAACACTCTATCTCGTATAGTAACGTTCCATCTCGAAAAATTTAGTTTGCACACATATCAACAGAAATCAATAAAGATATATAACATGGAAACAAAACACATATGCTATATAATATTAACTGTAAAACATTCCAATTATTAAACTAATTGCTGGAGAGTGAACGCTTCGCCAAGATTTTACTAAATGATTCGTGTCGGGAGCAAACAAATTAGTTATGCTAAATATATTAAGATGGAATATGGCGATAAATAAAGCATTGATACTATCATTCGCTCCAGCTAGAGACAAAAAAAAAACTGAATTGTATAGAAATTTCCAATAATAGATCGTTCTTTGTTATCATCGGAACGGCCTTGTGATGTGAAATAGTTGTCAACATTAAGCTTTACCATAGACCTATCGGATATCCAATACAATAGGTAAACATTGGGCACCTCGGCGTGGTGTAATGGTTAGCAAGCTTGTCTTGCTAGGTCAGTTACTACTGAAGAGTAAGTTCGATCCTCACTGGATGCCCCTTGCTTTCGGCCTTGTGCCACATCTAAGCTACGCTTGGAAATTCTTTACAATAGGTAAACATAACATCATTGAAACCTAGTAGATAATATATCTCGGCGTGGCGAGTTGCAACATAGCGGGAAATAATTACGTCTGGTGTGGGCCGTTTTATAACTCTTCATTTTCCCAAGGGTCAGTCAAGTTTGACACAGGTAAATCCATCTCGACAGGGACAGTGCGGTTATTAAAGTGTGCCTCTTCTCACTGAACTTGTTCTGAGGTCGGATTTACCCTGACTATAAATAAAAAAGAACACTCAAAAATAATTATTAAATTATCGTTATCACAGGCCCTTGCATATGTAATCCGCCCACCTTGAACTTTTGTACATTTTGTTACGTTCAAACCATAAATCACAAATGTATGTAACAGACGAACTCATAGCAGAAAATGGAAGAATTTGAGTTTTGACTTCATATGACACTAGAAGGGTTGAAATTATAGCTCAATAGCTATACCGACAGATATGTGGATTTTAAAGGTTGAAAGGATAGCTCGATGGATATACCGAGAGATATGTGACAATTTAAGTGTCTATAAGATAGTTCGATGGCTATACTGAGAGAGATGTGACACTTTAAGTGTTGAAAAGATAGGTCGATTACGATACTGAGAGAGATGTTACAGTTTAAGTGTTGATAAGATAGTTCAATGGCTATACTGAGAGAGATGTGACACTTTAAGTGTTGATACATTATGTCGATAGCGATACTGAGAGAGATGTTACAGTTTAAGAGTTGAAAAGATAGCTCAATGGGTATACTGAGAGAGATGTGACAATTTAAGTGTTGATAAGATAGGTCGATAGCGATACTGAGAGAGATGTTACAGTTTAAGTGTTGAAAAGATAGTTCGATGGCTATACTGAGAGATATGTAACACTTTAAGTGTTGAATGTTAGCACGATGGCTATACCGAGAGAGATGTGACACTAAGGGTTGAAAAGATAGCGCGATAGCTATACTGAGAGAGATGTGGCACTTTAAAGGCTGAATTATAAATCCATAGAAATAGCGATTTTATTAAATTTCAGAAGGTATTTTTATTCGTCCTTGGGTAAATGCGACATAGAAACATTTGATTTTTTTCTTTTTTACAAAAACCCTATGTATCCGAAGTTGACAACTGATTACGAAATAGACCAAATTATTACAAATATAAAAAATCAGAAACGTATTGTGGGCATATGTATTCACCCTCATTTCACCGTGAATTCAGTACGAACAATTAAACTCTGACGCCAAACAATCTGTAAATTAGAATCCATCTGATTATGATGATTTCCATTTAGTAAAGGAAAGAATGGAGATAAATGATTCATTTTGCATTTTCAATTAAATATACATTTTATATGACGACGGCAGAGGTTTGTTAGAGCACATTTCCGAAAGTCAGGAAGACAAAAGAGTCCAACAGACAGTCAAGGGATAAAGTTGCGGAGACATATAAAGCAGTGGCAGGTTATAAAAAATGCGTTATGTTTGAACATGAACTATGAAATACATCATCTGAAAATGAAATGAGTAAGGTAAAACTGCAAACCTTCCAAGAAAGGTCCTACCACCTAACCCGAATGACCGGGCCATAAAAACATCCAACAGAATAGCAACCAAGAAGTTCATTGTTACTTGTATTACTTACATTATCCGGACTGTTGTCCTCATAATTATTGCCATATTCAAAACGTTTCGGCTGTTGTACGCTCCGGTTTTCTTCAGGTGACTGGACTTTTGAACCGAACCCTTTATTTCGTCCACTGTGGTAGTTCTTTCTAGTTCAGCAGACCATGTCTCTTCCGGATGGATTCAGTTATTTCCCTTTAACTCAAGTCTCAAAATATTTCGGTTTACCACTGCTGTAGTATGGTATTCAACTCACAACTCTTTTGGGTCTTTTTACTGGATCAAACCAACAGTTTTATCCACTGGGCCTTGGCTCCTTGAGGTTACAGCAGCGGCAAAAAAAAAAAAAAAAAAACTGTCCACCACCAGTCATCGTTGGAGTTGTAAAATCATATGGGCCAATTACACCCTGTGATGTCTGGTTATGGGTTATAATAAACGATCGCGTGTATAGCAAAATAGTTAGAGACATCGTAGAACTCAAGGACAGAATAAAGGGTATAATATCAAACATTCCCCGCGAAATGTGTGTCAAGGCTTTAAATTGTATTGCTGATCGCTGTTTTTTGTGTATCAATCGTGCTGGTGGACAGTTAGAGACTGTTCAGTAAACTCTTAATAAATGATTCCTCTCCTACTAGTGTTAATATAATTTTAACTCATCCTCTCCTACTAGTGTTAATATAATTTTAACTCATGCTCTGTCTATGTTTTGAGGTTCGGAGACGCATAACCTTTTTGGTTGTTCTACTCGTAGCATTACATCCGTTGACTACTTCAACTTTCTTTAGCTGTTTCCTATCCTACGGTGATCTTTTTCGAATTTTGAAATTAACACTTTATTCAATCAAGAGTGGATAGATTATTCTCTTCACGATATTTATTTCAACAGATTGTAATTTTGAATGTATTCAGCAACTGAATTATCTCAATTCCGAATTGTGATCAGCCCCAAGATTTCAAGGTGTCTGAAAATATGAAAGATCATTTTTATTCATTATCTCCTGTTTATTATTTTCTCTGAAAATATCGTCTTTTTTTTTCTTTCCTTTATTTTTCGAATTTCCTCTCTCATTTTCTTTTCTTCATCTGATTTTATTTTGAAATATTTTTTTTATTTTCCATTTTATATCTTATTAAAAATTTTATTTAATTTTTTACAAAATCAAATTCTTATTTCTCCTATACTCCCTTGCCGTCTTTATTGATAATTTCAAAACCAAAAATGGGGCGGTTAATTGTTTAGAATCAGGCTACCAACTGGTAAAGATATAAATGCCTGGAAAATCTGAAGTTTTTTGGGTTTTTTTTTAATCTGGGAATACTGAGTCCTGAAATATTATGAAATTCCAGTCCCTTTTACAGTGAATGCTGAACATTTTTTTCTCAGATGTAGGAAAGACTCGAAGCAACCGAAATTTGGTACGACAGAAGGCTGCTGGTATACGATGGACGGAATAACGCGTATGCTTTAAGGAAATTCAAGACCAAAATAGTCGTTTCTACTAATAATCAGTAGCAGAAAGTTGGAATTCTTAAGACATATAATAAGGAAAAAAGACTAAAAAGATTTAGCACTTACGTGATATACTGAAGGTATATTGACAGAGAGAAGCAGTACCCTACTTACCGAGTTTGTATAATCAGATGGTAAAACAGAGATTGGAATAGATTGTAAAGAGACGATCGTTGCTTCGTGTTGCAAATGATGCCCACGCGGCCCAGTGGTTAGCATCCTAACCATAAGACCCGGGTTCGAATCTCATCATGGTCGATATTTCAGGAAGGAGACTTCCTGATGTTATCAGACTGGAGGGGTCGATCCCAGCGTGCAGCAACATTGGAAATTGCCTGAAAACCATACTGCAAAATGACCCACGACTTGAGACGCAAATTGGGTAAACGGAACACTTAAGTGCCGTCGATAGCTGTGCAAGTCACATGTCAACGTGGCCGAGGTCTTTAGTGTGCTGACCTTGTTCAAATTGTTGATCACGCTAGTAACACGCTCACTCCCAAGAACTGTAACTAAGGTATGCCCAGCATAGTTGCTGTATAAACCACATGTTGGTTCTCTGGTTGTTGAATAAACACAAATGCGCTTTAGCAAGCATCTGCAATAGGGATTGGCTAGCCGGCCTAGTAGACAGGAATCCTCGAATACGAATGGCCAGTTATAAAGTGTTGCAACTAATAAGAAATTGAGGAGAGCCATGATTTCCAAAGTCCTGAAGAGGTACAGAACATAAAATTAGAATGATTTTTAAGTAGATTGGTCTTAGAGCTTCTAAGATAACCTTGAAAATCAGTATTTCCTTCATTGATTAACTTTAACATTCACATTGTAGCTATGACTGTTGATGTATTTTTCTTCTTCCCCCAACATTTTTACACTTGAGCGAAATGGTTTTCCTTCGTCTAATTATAAGGAGATTTGTTCTTTCCTTCCCAATTTTATTTTAGTTTTAGTTTGTTTTTGTTTTTTTTTAAACTAAACAATCAATTCATAATATGAGTGAAAAAAAAAAACACATACAAATATTCCGTCTTGGAAATGTTGAAATCAATAGTTTGTAACAGTCAAAAAAATTCAAAGAATTCGAAGAATGCAATCAAACTTGAGAAGCAATTAAGAAAATAAAACACACAACAAAACAGACGCTCCCCAAACAAGTAACGGATGGAAAATCGAATGGGGGTTATTATTAATTACTTGAAAAGGTAAAAATATAAATAAAATAGAAACCGAAAACAGGCAAATAAATAAGTAATTAGAGAAGAAATTTAAAAAGGGACAATATATATATATATATATATATATATATATATATATATATATATATATAAAAACCAAATAAGCAGATATTAGTAATTGTATATATGTGCTTAGCGTGCATACACAGGTAAGCGAATAAGTATTTAGTCAATTTAATTTAAGGTGTAAACAAAGCAGTGCTCAGTGTGGTTAGACAAAGCTAAGAAGCTTATATTGATAAATATATATATACCTACGTACGAAGCGCAAATTAAAGTTTCGTGGTTCAAACAAAAAATCATTCAGCAATTATCAGTTTTAAAACACACACACACACACACATATATATATATATATATATATATATATATATATATATATATATGAAGAAATATAGTCTTAAGATGTGCTATATTTATGGGATAAAGTGCTCAATATCAGAGATAGAGCGTATGTAAATATAAAAGTGAACATAGAAGTCTACACTTAGAGGCGACGGTCTGTTTCATGCTAGATGCAATCGTCAAGACACGAGTGCTGTTATTTTTCTGGGCTATTTATATATATATATGGGACAGTGGTGCATTGTGGGCAGTCTATTTTGGCGGTTATTTTAACGGAAGTCGTTTATTTGTTTATTTATTTTTGGGGATTCATTTATTTTGCTTGTTTTTATTTATTCTTATTTTTATTTTTATTTATTTTTTATTTAAATTTTAATCGGTGTTTTTAATAACGTAGTAAAAATTTGTTTATATCGCTTATTTAATAGTTTTGTTTTGGTTTGGGAAGATAATTAAAGCTATTTATTCAGTTTCGGGGTTGATTGTTGTAGTTTATTCTAACTATTATTTTGGCGGGAACAGTTTTACACAACAACGTAATATACCAAGCCACGATAAAATCAACAGATAATGAAGAAAAGTATACATAGGAGTAACTGAAAGACCCCGGAAACAAAGAAATTATACACACAAAATATCTTTCACAAATAGTAAATATGCGAACAGCACAATGCTTTTTAATATCTGGGATATTAAAAAGAAAACGCACATCACACCAAAAATATCTTGGAAAATAAGGAAAATATCATCAGCCTAAAACAACCAATCAAAAACTTACAAACCTTGCTTGGAGGAAAAAAATAGCTTTCATTTCTCCCCAGACAAAAATAAATTATTAAATAAAAGAACCGAGCTCATCTCAAAATGCAGACATGAAAATAAATTTGTATCACTTAAAAATCAAAAAACGGAAAATAAAATAAAAATAAATAAATAAACAAAATGACAATAAAATAAGCAAAATAAATTAACCCAAACAAATTACCAAATCACACCTGTTAGAATAGACGAAATATAATAAAGAATAAGAAAAAGAAAAAAAATCATTGAACCCAAATAAATAAAGTAAATAATAAACAAATTAGCAAACTATTATGACCAAAATATTAGTTAGACGACAAAAATCAAACCAAAAATCGGACGAAAAAAATTGCTATAACTGTTATATAACGATAAAAAAATACTACATTACTTAAAAATCGAAAACCGAAAAGATAAAATATACAGTATAACAAATAAATAATAACAAGGGAAAAAAATTGACCTAAATTCATCCAAATAAATAAACTAACAAACTGATCCCGATAAACTAACCGTTAGAAAAAACAAATAAAAATAATCAATCCAAATAAATACATGAAGTAATAAACAAATTAAAAACTGTTCCCGCCAAAACAATAGTTAGAATAAACTACAACAATCAATCCCGAAAATGAATAAATAACTTAATTATCTTCCCAAACCAAAACAAAACTATTAAATAAGCGATATAAACAATTTTTACTACGTTAATAAAAACACTGATTAAAATAAAAAAATAAATAAATAAGATAAGAATTAAAAATAAAAATAAAAAATAAAAATAAATAAAAAACAATAA